TTTAATACTATGCATTTAAAATATGAATTGTATTTTTCAGTGTGTATTTGATGTGGATCCGGAGAATGGGTTGACATTAGTTGAGATTGCTGATGGCGTCGAAATTGTAGACATAGTTCAAAGTACTGGATGCGAGTTTGTCAAAGCAGATAACTTGAAAATAATGGGACAAGTAGAATAGCTCTAAATTATAATTACTAAAAGTGTATAATTTGTTATGTTAATAAAATCAATTTTGCATTTAGTGTGTATGTGTATATTGAAAAATTGTAATACCAAAAAACACAATTAAACACAAGTTAAAATACAATATAATATTATTAAGTATTTAGATATATTATAAACAAGAAAAAAAAAGTTGAAAACAATTTTCATCACAAATGCTGTTTAGGCCTCAAAAAATCCAATCATAATATTAAATGTTTGTTGAATGTTTTTAACAAACATTTTACAATTTACAAAATCAATAATGAAAAAAATAGAAACAAATAATTGCACAAAATGTCATATAAAAAATGTAGATAATATTTAAGTCTTTGGGAATTAATAAATAAAAACGTCATCTACAAAGTGTAGGTAGGTTTAAATAAAAATAAAAATTGCAGTGCGCACAATAACAAAAAAAAAAAAAAAACAATCGGTTCAAACAATAACTAAAATAATTTTATGTGAATATGTGCCCAAAAATGAAATATATAATATGGCATGGCGACTAGTTCATTTTCATGCGTTTTCCGTTGCAATTAGTGGTATACTCTGTGGAGTCGTAGTCTATCATAACTTCAGTGGGTATAGTTTTCTAAATTAAAAATATATATAAAATATTATTACATAAATACCTGAAAAATTATGTAATCAAAGCAAAAGAAGTATTACATGTTTTTAATGTTTATGCAATGATTTATAATATTTTTTACTAATTACTATTCAGTCTTGAAAACTGATAATTTTTGAGTAAGACAAATTACATCTTATAGCCTAATTAATATATATTATACAATAAGTTACAAAAACAAAAATGTATTTAAAATTATTTTAATTAGCTAAATACATTTAATACATTATTTAACTATACTTACATCTCCTGAACCCATTACTGCAATTGGTGTTTCTCCTGTGACTAGAGCCACTTCATGTTCAATTAAATAGAACATGTACTCATCATAGAGTAGGCGTATTAGGTGAAACGATCCAAAACTAGCAGCTGAACGTAAAGTCAAATCGCGTATCACCATCGAACTATAATAAATAACATAAGTATGAATGTAAATCATTTATGATAAATGCATAATTAATTTTCAAAAATCTTAATAATCAATATTTACCTATAAAATGACCATTTTAATAAAAACTGCCTAGCTTCTTTAGTGAAATTAGGTGTATCACGATATTGTTTCAAACAATTATCCACAACACTTTTTAACCACGTTGCCCATTCTTCTAAAGAATTTTGTTGTTGTAAAGTATGCTTAAAATCTGCTTCCAATTGTTGGACCAATGTTGAGTCACATTGGCACACCCAAGAAGCCTTTTTTATAACCAATAAATTGATTTACTATATTTAAGAACACTATTTCAAATTTTAAAACCTCTTACTTGTTCTTGTACATTACGGAAGTCCACACGATTCAAATCAGTAAGCATTTGATTTATTTGGGTATAATTTTGAAGCACAGCTCTCGCTGCTTGGGCAAGATGATTAAGCGAAGTGTATCTGCGTAAGGTTTGTGCAAAGGCGCTAACAGCAGTCACCTAAAATTATGAATTACAATAATAATAACAATGAATAGTTGAATAAAAATTATATGAAAATAATAACTTTTATTGAGATCATTTCTTCTGGGCACCCTTGCATTGCAGATATGAGCCATGACTCTAAGCCTTTTGAAAAATTTCTAATGGCTTGTGTTAATGTCCCTGTACATAATTTAACAATAGTTATACCTCTAAAAACAAACCCATTAAATATACATACCAGGAACAGGCCGAAGAACATCTGGAATTAAAACTTTCACCAAGTTTTGATAAAATAGAAAGTCAACAGTTTTTACAAACAGTTGCAATGTTTTGCACTTTGACAATGAGTATAATTTTTCTTTCGATAAATATTTTTCTTCTTCACATTCATCATTATTATTATCTTGACTACGCCAAAATTCTCGCCAAAGTGACTCAATAGTGCCAAATTCTAAGTTCAATATGGCACCTAAAAACGCCTAAAAAAGCAATATTTTTAAAATTAAATTTAAAAGTTTCAAATTAAAAACAATTTAGTACCTCATAATGTTCACGGTACAAATTTTTGAATGTATCTACATCTTCTAAAGTACAATTATCATCCAATTGTATTTCATCCAAAATAATATCAGGAAACTCTGGTACAGCATTAGCACCATCACCTAAATATTCTTGGTTTTGTGCTTGAGGAGATGATGGAATACTGTTTTGAGAACAATTAGCAGAATCTGAACTGTTGGTGGTATATTGATTGCAGTTTCGCTCTTCGGTTTTAATGAACTTAATTTTTTTCGAACTACTACTTTGATTTGTTCGCCCTGGTAGGTTTTCTTCTGATGAAAAGTCATTTAATAATGAACTAGCCTTAATTCTGATGCCATAATAATGATATTTGGAATTTCCTCTAAAAAACAAAAAATTGTTGATTAAATAAATCACACAGTGTAGTCAAATAGTTAAAGATAGCACCATACCGAGTTCCTAGGCGCCTTGTACGTAATCCCATAAACACAGATCGAATAAGTTTACCAAATGATGCTGCATTTACAGGATCAATCTTAGTTTCCGAGCAATGTGTTAGATAATGATTATATAACGTTGATCGAGGTAACGACACCCCTTCAGCCATTTCATAATTTTCCATCAGCCAGTTGACCTTTCATAATAATATATAATTGAATAATTTATTATTCCAAAAATATGTATGAACAGCTTACAGTTGCAGGAGAAATTCTATTTGCATGCATAAGACCGGAGTTTTGCATTCCTCCATCTGATTCGACACCATTCAGTTGATCTATACTTGTGTTTGTTGTGCCAGACTCAGTAGCATTTACCGTAAGATATGACACATCCTAATAATAATAATAGAGTATTAATAAACATAAATCGTAATAAGTAAAATGCAGCAATTTATAAAAATGTAGGCAATGTAAAACAAAACACATTGAGGCACATAATTATTAAAACTATTATACCGAAGATATAACGGAATTTGGGCTGTCTCTTTGAGCGGTAGCAATAATAGTATGATCATTGTCAACATTCTGTTGTATAATGTAGGTTCCATTACCAATAATTTGTGCCTGACATGTTGGTTGGCCTAAGGTGTTTGTAACCTTTAACATTTTGAACATGTTTTAATTTCAATATGTTATTATAGAAATATAATTATAATTAACTATACAGAATAATTCAGAAAGTCCTGACCATTTATTTTACAGACTTTTAGAAAAATGCAAAATGAAAAGAAACCTTGTTCGTCTGTATTATACAGGAATATAATTGATGAGGACTTTTGGATAATTCTGTAAGTCAAAACCAAGACAATTTTATAATATTGATAAACTAGAATTCATATAAATATTATTTACTTGAGAATAAGAATTTGTGCTTGGAGTGTAATAATGGGTTTGACCAGTTTGATACATTGTTCCACTCTCACCCACAGTATATACTGGGTACGCCCTAAATATTAAATTAATATGAATACTTATATCAGAATTAAAATTAATGATAACAAATTTACATTTGCCCATTTGTGAAAATTGCTTGTTCGCCAGTTCCTTCGACATACTGTACATAAGTCGAATGGCCAACATCATCAGAACCAACAGACTCAGTTTCAGGAACTAAACAAAAAATAAACCAACTAAGTATCTAAGCTATAATATTGAAAAAATAAATTAAACATTAAATATCTTTTACAAAATAAGAAACAAGAAATCAAGCTAAAATAAACAAAGGAGCCAAAAAGACTCCACGTACCATTATACTAATAAATGTTTAGCAGAGTATAGACATAAATTAATGTAATGTTACAAGAGACATGGCTTAACTTTTCATGAAAATGTGTGTACCAGTATGAGGAGCCTTTTAAGCAAAATATAAATTACTACATTAAAAAATTTATATGAAATAGGAATGAAATCAAGAAAATACAAACAAGAGAATTTTAACTCAAATAATTTGAAATTAAAATTTAAATAAATGTTTCCCTGAGTCTTACCCAATGTTGGTACTGGTGTAAGGGAAGTATAAGATCGTCCTTGAGTCCCTTCTTAATTGTAAGCGTGTAATTTTATAATCACGATATATGATAATATGCATTTTATATTAAAAATGGAGAACTAATATTGTACAAGAATAAGATAAAATTTTCAATTTTATTTGAATAAGAAGCTTTTATCATACAAAAATAATTCTCCATTGTTTCATAAATGTATTAATACAATGATTTTGTTTAACTTACCTGATGCTGCCACAATATAGTGGCCATTATCAACAGTAACAGTAGAAGAAATCCTATCTTTATGATCTATGTGATCATCATCCATTGATTTATCAGATCCATCATCATGAACTGGACTAGTTCCACATAGTATAGCATTTTCAAGTTGTCTATTACTATTGACATTCTAAAAGCATAAAGATTTAAATATTTATAATACACATAAAACTATACAAATTAAGTAAGTACCTGGTCAATGGACGTACGCACCACAGAAGTTTGTTGTACTGGTTGTACAACAAGAGTTTGACCAACTCCACCAGCCGTTACAACAGTAATAGTACTTATTTGGGAACCAGTACCCGCTGACCCTTCTAATTTGATTCCACTTCTTACAGAAGTCGCCATGGAATTACCTAAACCCATATTTAATTTCATAATTTTCTTAAAAATTGAATTTACAGTTAAAAATTCCAAACAAAATAAACACATATATAATGAAAAACATTTTAATTAATATGTATTTAACAGTTTAACAACTTTTAATAACCAATATAATGCAAGACATAGTTATATTAATAAAAATCTAATTATATTTAATTTTGTGTTACAAGTATAAATGTTTTTTTTTTTAAATTTTGGTTTTCATTCATGAGCAGAAAATAAAAATAAATAAAATATTAACTTAAACATTAAAAAAAATATATTTTAATTTTAAATAGTCAAAATAACAAAAATAATTGGTTGTTCAATAAAATACTAATAAATACATAATAAAAACTTTAAATAAATAAATTAAATTAAAATTTTTAAGTAGAAAAACAATAATTTAAAAACTAAATGTTATAATTTCAAGTATTAATTATGTAGGTATTAAAAATATAATGTAAAAAATACTACAAACATATGGTTATTAACTATGTTACAATTATCTATTATATTATAAATTGGCTATACATATTAAGTAGTGAACAATAAAAACTTTTTTCCATCACTTAAAATCATATCTCTATTATTAAGTGACCAAGATATGTTAGAAACTAATAAACATGTACCATCAACAAGCTTTGGTGAAGTCTGTAAAATAGGAGTTTGTCCTTCAGTCCAAAAAAAAATTAAATCTGTACCATAAGCTACGGACAGTTTATTTTCTGCCTGACACCACTGCATTTTTTTAATTTCTTTAGCTAATTCTACTGCACATATCAATCTATATTTTTCCCAAATACAAAGAAATTTTGAATTTTCTTCACAAGTACTCAAATATTTACAATCAAAGCTCCAAACAATAAAAGCTATTTTTGAAGAAACAGAATTGAATGTTTTGGAAGGGTTTGTTTTGATTAATACTCCATTGGATTCTAGGAAAAAATTATAATCTTCACTTAGTGAAGTACGAGACAATTTAAATTCTACATTAAACTCATTAGAAGAAGTTAATACAACAATGTCACCCAAGGAACATCCTAAAGCTAGATATTTACTATTAGGCGACCAACTCACAGTGTTTAATAAAAAACATTCAATTGAGCCAATAACATTACCAGAATAAAAATTGAGAATTGCTAGTTTTTTATTATTAAAAACACAGACGAATCGATTATCTGGAGATTTATTTAGCCCATTACAAGGTCCTATTATATCTTGAATGTAAATAACCCTATTCAAACTCCGAGAACTCATCATTAACAATTTTTCATAACCATTTATCTTGGAGACTACAAACATATGAGTTCCATCGCTATCAAATACCGCACAAGGCCAAATGGGTTTGGGGATTTCAATGTATACAATGGAATTTTTCATTAAATTAAACACAGCCAAAGCCATATGGAATTCAAGCGTCAGCAAAATGTTGTCTTGACTTATCCATTCGGCGGCTACAAATTTGAAATAGCCACATCTAATGGTGCGTATCCATTTGTCGGCACACACGTCGTACACTTGTACCACACCTTTGCTGAACTGTGTGCACAGTATAAGATCAGACGTTACGTTCCACCACAGACCATCAATGGCATAAGAGGCTGTAGCCACAACGTGTGGGCCCGCAAACGGTTGTGTCTTGACGATTAAACGGTTGTAAACGGCAGACGCCACGAACCGGCCGTCGGTAGAAAACGCGCACGCATCATAGTCTAGTGGTAGTACGTTCATTTTTATAAAATGGAACAAAACACTTACTGTTCGATTGTCGGACGACTCTCCCAGAAGCGTTTCATAGGTTTCGATCAGGATGGAACGTCAGTGATGTATACCTGTGAATACACACGCATACACACGTACGAGAACGTATACGAGTACACATATACGCACATATATACACACACACACACACACACACACACACAAACGGTTACTATTGGTTTTTTGTTGTTAGGACGAAAACGAAATTTTTTGACTAACGTCAGTTACGTTCTGTTAGTCGTAAACGTCGTGTGTGTACAACGGACTAACCAAACATAAATGCATTTTTTGTTTATTTATTATTATTTTTTTGTTCGTCGTTAATCGTTCACCTGAATTGTTGACGGAAAAAGGCGTTCATGGTGACTATGGCTACGGCTTCTCTCCCGTTGCTAGGAGCGGTGTCGGTCACAACAAACGCGCAACAATAAACGATCAATAACAAGATTATAGGAATAGGGCACGCCGCCGCCGCGTCTTGTCTTCGCGGATCGCTAGTCGCCTACGCCCGACGCGCCACCGACATCGTCGTCGCGTGAGTGCGTAAGCTCGGTAGGGTGTGCGCGTGCGCGTGTGCTTCGGGCACGGCCGGTGTGTCGTAGCGGAGTCTGGCACTGTGGCGGTCTTCTTCGTCCGGTTCGCTCGATTATGCGAAATTGCGAATCCTATATCAATGGTTTTTCACTGCAACGGTGGTGTCGTGGTGATCGCTGTGCTCATATATACGGCTGGAAGCGTGTCGACGAAGGTGTAGCGAAATTAATGAGAGTAATGATCATGCAATGACTAATGAGACGCCCGTTTGCAACGAAAGGGATTCCACAAACGGAACGATACTCGATAGTCAAAAGATAGTGTGTAAAATGCCAATCGGTAAAAACAATCGTTCACCCGATGGACACGCATCAAAGACGTTCAAAAACCGCCTCAACGGTCGCTCGTGGCTCGTTCTAGCGTTTGGCGCCTTTTATGAAAAACCTACGTACTATTATAGCAGCTATAACGAGTATAACGTAGCAATATTTAGCAGCTGCTGCTTCCGCGACGACGTCCGGTATTAATGATACGTATAACGTATTCGACCGGAACCGGCAGGCGTATAGGGAGTGACTACTTTTTATACATTCAACTTAAAATAGCTATAACATTGAAACTAAGTTCAGTCAATGAATTTTAATTAAACCAACATGTTTTCCCCTCCTTTCCCCTCATCTCTCCTCCCCCATAAAATTTCCCAAACTAAGATTATCCGCTGAAAAGAAAAGTTCTTTTAAAGTTCTCAGATTATTTTTTTTCTTAAGAATTTTTATTCCGATTACCAATATTTGATATACTAAACGAAGCTCTTCCCTCAGACAGTCAGACTGTGGAGTTCAAACTATCTGCAATGAAAATCTACATTAGAAATCAAGAGATCAACTGTGCTTAATATTACCATACAAATATACAATTATACAAGTGACAGGCCTCTCTCCGTACTCCGTAGTCCGTTAGCTCAAATGAGGATGTCCCCATGTTGTTCTTATACGTTCATAATAATAAAATTAAAAAATTATTTAGCTAGGTGCCTAACTTATGTTGAATAGGGTCAAAACATTTGAATCTATAGTTTTAGATTCTAAACGGAGTGATAAATGCATTGATTTTATTTGAGTGTTTTTATTTTCAATTTTTTTTTTGTGTTTATTTACATTATAAGGCGATAAGTAGTTGAAATAATGTATCATGGATTTTCAACTTTAGTATTTCTTTTCCAGTGAAAGGAGAATTTAGTTGGGACTTTTGAAAGGTCACCCCAGGACCTAATCGTCCCCCCCAACAAATATTAAATGTACGTATTATGTAAATTTTCGTTGTGGCTTTTTTTCTAATGTCCGTCCAATGATTTGGTTAACCTAATCTTATGTATATAATTGTACAATTAAAGTGTACGCTTTCTGCAATCTTAATTTTTTACCGACAAAGTATCGGTTTTTCATGTTCGACAGTTCAAACTTTAAAGTTACCTAGATTAGTTATAGTGAATAGTGATGTGTGAGTATCATTATAAACGTTTCAATATTAAAATACTAAAATAGTTAATACAGCCTCAAGAATTGTTAAGTGTAAACCCCTCATTTAACTATTCCTAGTTATTTATTTTAAAATTAATTTAATTTGAACACAATTTTAAGAATATCCAAATAGTTGTGAATACTGAATGATCTTTACGTAATTATCATACTGATAAATGTTCATCATAATAAGCTATAGTAAGCACACACTAATAAACTATATATGTCGTATATTAGATATAGACTGTTTATTGATTATATAATATTATAGATGGGTAATAATTACTAATTAAAAAGTTATCGCGTTCTGTAAAAAAATATTAGTTACAGTAAATTCTAAAATATTTTGCTACAAAATAAAAATATTGAATTTACAATAATAATAACATAGGTAATCTATTGAAAATAAAAAATAATACAATGATTATATCCAGATTGGTACATTGTTTTTTATTGTTGAAAATATGGCTAACATGATGGTTTAAATGTATTATAGCTATGAACTATCCAATTAAAATATAAGCGCATAGGTATAGGTACTTTAAAACAGATAATGTGTACCAAGGATCAACAAATGGTATTATAGCAGTTATAATAAATGTATAATATTTCATTACCTATATAAGCAGCTGATAATAATTGATATGATATAAAAATATGTTTACATAATTACATCTATATGGTACCTAAATAAGTAACGAATTTAAATATTTTAATTACAAGTGTATGTAGTACATCATAACATCATACCTAATTTATTATTTTGACTAATATCTTTCTATTTCAAGAAATGTCTTCAAAAAATAGAGAGGATGAAGCTGTTTCCAATTTTAGAAAATATTTACAGATACCCACCGTCCACCCCAATGTCGATTATAGTTAAGTATTATTATTATTTTTTTTTTATTTATAAGCTAAATTAAATAGGTATTGACTAATTAATGTAATATTATTCAACACTTATGGGGTAATCCGTGGTAGTGTATTATATATGTGTTCTTTAAAATTAATGTACGAGTAAGGTGTCTATTATATAAAAATAAAATAGAAAATTTAGTTTTGATGATATAACGTTAAATATAGAGAATTTATTAATGAAGTTAATTTATGATAAGTATGGATAAATAATATTTATGTATTAAAATTAAAATAGGAAGGGACATACAGCGTAGATTCTACACCTACTTCTCAGATTTTTTGATAATCATTAATATGCAGGTGAATGTGTCAAATTTCTACAGTTTCAGGCTGAAAGTTTAGGACTACCATCAAAAATTCATTATATGGCACCAAAAAAACCGGTGGTTATTATTACACTACAAGGAAAAAAACCTGAATTACAATCTCTGTTGCTGACATCGCATATGGACGTCGTACCAGTTTATCCAGTAGGTACCTACGCTAAAAATTAAAATACCAACTTGACTAAACGCTTAAAGGTTATAGCCTTATAGGTAGGTATGTCGTTGACGTACGTTTGTTCTGTGGTTTAACGGAAGTAATGAGTTAGTAGTTTCCGTGGTACCGTCAATTTTCAAAAAAAAAAAAAATGTACCTACGTCGGACGTACTAGTGTAAAAGGGAAGAGTTTAGTACTATATTTATTTTAGTACCTAATTAATGTTCAATAAAGTGAATATTATCAATGATATGCTTAGAATTGGGTAAATATTCATGGTAAATTGTTGAATTTCTCATGGTTCATACTGTAATACTGTATGTCTGTATTGTATATTTGTATGGGCTTACCAATTTACCATGGTTTGAGTTTCTTAACTGAGTTCGTGAAAATTTGGATTTTATCCATGGTCTTTGTCAGGGTGTTATTGTTGAATGATGCACAAGCCATTTTATATGAAGTTAATTTTAAATTTCTTTTCTTCCTTTCTTCAGAATTTTACACTTTTATAGTCTCCAAGTGGTCCACAAATTATTATTCTTGTAACTATCCGCTTGTCAAAATGATGCGTTTTGCCAATGGTGGGGAAATATTAATTTTTCAAAACATGATTTGAATATTATATTCATTAGTAGCCATATTTTAAATTATTGTAATTTAGTATAGTTTTTACATTTGTTATTTATAATATAATTATGTTTTATTTTTAATTTGTAATATACATTTATAGGCTATAGCTTATAGGTTAGGTATAGGTATAAGGTATATGTAAATCGTATAGACATATTGACTGATATTGTATTGGGTTTACTGTTTTTAATACTAAATTAATAAATATTAATAAATAATAATTAATAACTATTCCTAGGAAAATTGGACACATGATCCATTTTTGGCTTACAAAGATGCACAAGGAAACATATACGCTAGAGGAGCACAAGATATGAAATGCGTCGGTATACAATATTTAGAAACAATAAGAAGATACAAAAAAAATAACTTAATTCTTGATAGAACCATTCACGTTTCTTTCATGCCTGGTATGACTGTATAATTTTGGTATTTGAGTATTTTTACAAATGAAAAGTAACAATAATTAATCAAATTGTAATATTTCGTTGTAATTGTCGTATTTTAGATGAAGAAATAGGAGGAATTTTAGGTATGGCACATTTCGTCAAGACTGATGAATTCCGTTCTTTGAATATTGGATTTACATTAGATGAAGGTTTGGCAAGTATAGACGATGTTATTCCTTTGTATTACGGCGAAAGAACAATTTGGCGTTAGTATATTTTACAGTTGTACTTACTTGCCAGAATGGACATTTTACATTTATAAATATCAAATACCTACTCGTATGTACTTTCAAAATCTTGTATTTATATTATTAAACAGAATTCTACATTCGAAGCACTGGCACTCCTGGCCACGCCTCACTACTTCACGATAACACTGCTGCAGAAAAATTGATGTATGTGGTAAATAAAATATTGGACTGGAGGACGGAGGAAAAGTTAAAATTGTCCCAGGGCGTGGATATTGGGGAAGTTACATCTGTGAATATGACAATGCTGGAGGGTGGATGTCAATTGAACGTTGTACCCCCACAGCTGTCTGCTGGTTTCGATGTTCGGTTGGCTATAGGCACAGATCGCAGTGCTATAGAGGACATCATAACTGGGTGGTGTCATGAAGCTGGAGAAGGTATACAACTGGAAGTCTTCAAAACAAATGAACAGACCATACCGACTAAACTAGATGATTCAAACCCTTGGTGGTTAAAATTTAAGAGTGAATGCGATGAAATGTACGTTTTGTTTTATTAATCGCGTCCTTTAAATATGTTCAGTGTTCATTATTAACATGAATTATATTTTTATAATAACAAGCTTTACCACTATTCATATCACAACAGAACAATATAACTGTATTAGTATTAAATATAGATATATAGTTAGATGTAACGCAGGATAAGAATACACATATATACGGGCACATGGTTAATGGTCATCAATTACGTCATAATATTTAAAATTATAAAAATTAATACATTAAAATCCATAATATTACATATTTATTATTTTGAGCAATTAAAATTTTTTAAAAAATAATGTTATAAACGAAATATAGAGGTAGATTATCTGCAGGATATTCGGTGTGATAGTTGAGTCATACCTAGGTTAGGTTACTTGCAATAATGTTAATAAAATTGTATAAATAATATTATGTTTTACACCACCTTAATCTACCTCTGAGAGGTGACCTCTAAAAATAGTACGGACCTAATAAGAACTCATGATATATTGTATAGAATAAGGGGCTGTGCAAATGCACAGTTGGCCGGTGTCAAAAATGTCCCCCCCGAGTCGGTACAAAATAATCCACCTGCAAGTAAAATATTATTATTATACGATTTTTGAAGATCTCTTCTATTTATAGACCACGTTGATAGTAGACCAACTTGATCCACTCCACTCAACTAAGCTTTAAATACTTATAAGTTCTTATAAGTATTTAAAATAAGGGCCCATATTATAATGCAAAATACAGTATTTTTTAGGAAGTCCCCGGTAATAAATTCTTTTCAAGTACATTATCTGAGTTTCATATACATCAAAGAATTGAAAACTTAAGCTTTTTACGTATGCAACGACTTTTTTTTTTATTTACAGTTAACATCTCATCTGTTATATACTTATATACGTCCGGGACTCAAACCAGTACTTTACCAATTGTTCAGTCTGTGTTACATCGTGTATTTTGATAGTTCTTATTTTTGTTTACCTGAAATAGGTTAAAAAATTTTGTAATTTTTTAAGGACATTATTGCGGTTAAAATCCTTTTTTTAGGGCATTTTCGCTATTTTCAAAGCATTTTAGGATAGTTTTGGAGGCATTCAAATCCGAGCCCGACGGGCGCCCTATACTTATAAGTTATAACCCATAAACAAATTTAATTATAGTACATACAAGTACCTCAAAAAGTGATTTTTTTACAAAAAGATGTTGTAACTATAGTCAAAAATAAGGTTATAAAAGTTTAGGTTTTAATATAAAAGTGCCAATTTTTTTCATTACTAATGGACGAATGGGTCCCAAACTCCCGGTTCCGACTGTCCCTGTTGCATAGTAATATAGAAATATATAATTTTGTCTTTATATTTTTTAATATTTTTTTTTAATACAAAGAGTGCTTATATGTATTATATATTTTGCAGGAAGTTAAAACTAAAACCATCTATTTGTCCTGGAGCCGGTGATAGCAGATACATCAGACTAGTAACTATATACTGCTTTTAACTATAAACTTAATAATAGTATATTGTTTATGCAGTGGAGTACCAGAGATTTTTCAACGGTGGGTGGGGCCGGTGGGGGCTACACAAAGTAAAGCAGAATTTGATATCCGTTACCTAGGTAGTATAAGCTTATACTAGGTCGTTATTACTATGTAATAGCGTAATAACCTCTACAAATAATTATTGATAACACCTACCAACATAAAATGTTTCTTCAAAACCGTTTTCAGCAATACAATATGGTTTGTACTTTGCTTTTCAGTGTCCCAGATTTGTTTCAAAACAGGGCTAATGAAGGGGCAGGGGGCTGAAGCCCTCATAGCCCCTTGGATACCTCACTGTGTATATTTATATAATCAGTATGTACACGCTAATACACCTATAAAGTCTAATTGTATAGAAATACAAAAAAAATTAAATTAAATTTTTTTTTAATTGTAATACCTAGTAGTGGTTCCAAAACTTTAGAATTATGATTAAATTATGTATGTACCTATATGTATATTTGTATATTTCAATATTTGTATTGACTGTTGGCTGCTTTTGTTTACAGATTGGTATTCCCGCTCTTGGATTCTCTCCAATGATGTACACACCTGTGCTTTTACACGATCACGATGAATATTTGAATGAAAATACATTTTTGAACGGAATTAATATTTATTATAATATAATCAAGGGTTTAGCAACTGCATAAAATGTGCTATTCATATTATACGTAATAAAAATACTCGATTATTGAAAAAGCTACAATTTATAATTATTATTGTTTGAATAAAATTTTACTTCATTAAAAAATATAATTTTTATAATCTGTTAAAATTCAACTTTTGGGTACCTATATACTAATAGAATTATTCTTAACCCCTACGTATATATTTATGATGCCTATGCCCTATCATAAGAGTGCGCATGGGGGGGGGGTTCCGGGTATGCCATGTCATCCCCTGTAGTTTGCAGTGTTGTCATCATAATCAAAGTTTTTAGTTGTAAATGGTTTGATTAGTATCACGAATTTAGATAGTATCATAATATCATTAGTTCATGATAAGAATTTAAAAATTTTTTTTATTTTTTCTTATAAAAATATTGTGATATTGTGAGTGTACTAAAAAGTCTGTGCTGCAAACATATGATGCCTAAGTATATCGGAGGATCAAATTAACGAAATACACTCATAATTTCAAATACGTTAAATGTTAAAAGTTGTTGAAAGTATTTATTTAACAATTTAACATAATGCTAAGCCATTAAAAAAGTATACATTTTTTTTTTTTTATAATTTTTTTATGTTTTACTTTTAGAACATCCATTTTTAATTCCTTATTCCGAAACAGCATTTTTTTTGGAGTATACTTTAAAGTTTGATATATAAAAATAGAATTTCGGACGAGCAGTTTGAGTTCAACGTTATTCTTTTAAGTATATTTCAAAATGTTGATAAACTGAATGGAGTGATACAGTAGTACCCCGCGAAATGTTGTTTAACCCTCATTAAACTTGTTCTTAAAAATCTAAGCTTTCTAATTCTAAACTCAGAAAATTATCAACATAACATATCCAGTATGTATATATTGTAATTTATTTCGATCATATAGAATCTATTATTTAATTATAATTATAGCTCATAAAATCTTATAATAGTTTTAGGTATATTCAAATATTCTTGTAGGCTGTGCGGTTATTAGTAAATAATCCGTCAAATTAGATTTCTACCAGATGCGCATAGTTTTAATAATCTATAACAGTTTTTGAGTCCAGTACTCAGGTCTCAGAGGACTACAAAATTTAAATTATAGTTGAACGTGTTTTATAGTACATTCTGGCGTACAAACAATAGACTAGACAACATTATTGTAGTGTATAAATAGGTCAGGTTCGACAGTCGACTGCAGAGCACAATTTGGCCATTGAGTATAGATGTGTAAATGTATAATATACAATATACATACCTTTAATATAGTAATATATTATGTTTACACCTTGATGATGGCTTGACCTTTACACGGGTCACGGCGTAGTTGCCAAAGTCCATGTATTGATACCTATATAGAACGTATAGGTATAGGTGTTCACAATGTATAAATATACTTGTCTATAGTCTATTGTCGGAATGTAAAAGTGATTTTTTTCATTGCCATGCATATAGACATATGAGTATAAATATAAATATTTGGCTTTATAATATTATAGATTAAAAGATTAAACGCTTATAGCTTATAGATATATACAAGCTTTTACACCCTTAAAAATTCAATTTAATCATCACCTATAGGTATCATATTAATGTTATTAAATATAATGTACCAACATTATATTATTTGTCTTTATTGGTCAATAAATGAAAGTATTTTGAATTGTTTGTATTATAAATTATTCCTAACTTATTTACTTAATTAAACTTTTTAGTAATGATAGAACATTAGAACATTGGTACCTATATTTAATTAATGTAGGTATACGTTACTGTCGTCACAACCTTATGTAGTACCTATAAATGTATTGTTACTTATTGGCTATTCTATGTATAGATGGAGGTAATGCGTATTGGAATGTTTATTAGAAAAGCTATTTCCAACTTCCAATATCTATACCTTTAATGAGTGCCACGAGACACAATTTTGGTTCTCAACTAGATTTTTATGTCTATACACAATGATTTTAAAATTGTTTTCTATTGATAGGTATATAAAATTGAAACATATTTATGATATGTTTGTTTAAATATATTTTAGAAATAATAATAATTTTAAGTTTTCGCTATTCATATCAAAATATATTGCAGAATCTGAAAGGTTAGATTAGGCCAGCTTAAATTTCGGCAGCCTTATACATAAATTAAACCACTAGTAACATACCATTCAGCGTAATATTCGGCATAAGCCCCCTACCAATATTTTAACAGCTCCACCAAATATATAATAGATTAATTCATAATCATCACGTAAAATATTTTCTTTAATGAGACAAATATAGAAAACCTATTATATTATACTTCTTAAAAGTACGAGTATAGATGTAGTTGCACCAGTCAAGACTGTAAGTAACACAAAATTGGATATTCTTAATAGTCGTCAATGTACCTATTAAATGACTATAAATATACATAAATATATATATATATATATATAAATTTACTATTTATTGAATATTGATGAGTGGTGATATATTGAAAATATATAGAATTTAAAAGATACATAATTTGTATCAAACTAAAATTTAAATAAACTATTATAATACAAATATATTTGTGTACATTTATATTTATTATTTATACTATGAATTATTATACTTGGAAGTATACAAACTTAGGGAATATGGGGGAAATGTTTACACAAATTTCATAAAGTGCGATATCACTATAATAATTTTTTTTATTTATTCTCATTATTTTTAAAAAAAATAATTGTAATAAATGATTTATTTACATTTTACACCATAATCAAACACTTGATCAGTATAGGTATGATCTTGTGCATACCAAACTTTTAATAAATTAATAATTGTTACTATATGGACTTTAAACAGATAGTACTTTATAAGCTGCAATCCCAGACAAAAAGTCCATTTTGAAAAAAGTTGGACAATAAGTCCGAAAATACCAAATATTCTATTTTTATTGTTAATTATATAATTTATTATAAAGGTAAATACTAAATACATTATGTACAAGGTACAACTAATATTCATTTAAAATATGTAATTCATTTTAAAAATCTAATAATTAATCTGGTAATTTTAATTTAGTACAGTTGTGGACCATTAGGTAAACAAATATATACAAATAATTAGTAATAATGAATTGGCAATAGAATAATTTTAAAATCGCATAGGTGATAGGTCATTGTTAGTGAAAACGTAATTTATGTTAAATGTGTATTATTATTGTAAAGTGATCGTTTGAATTGACTATTTTTTTTAAAAGTCATCTTACTATAAATGATTATATTATTGTTATTGTACTATTATGTTTGTATAGTAAACTGTTGATAAGTATAAATAATTGTAATCAAATTCAAATAAAATATAATATTAATATAATAAATAATAACACTTTTTTAATTAATATTAATTATACACGAAATACCTACATACAAGATGATTTACCAACCATGCTCACCCCTATGTTTTCCTTTAATAATGAATTGATTTAGTCTTGAAATTTTTGTACTACTTAAGGAGTATTCTGTGGTGATACAAACATCTGTATTTTGAACGAGCCCCCCTTTTACTGTAAATTACTTAGTGGATATATTTTTTGAAAATTTTGGTGTAGGTATGTCGTATGTACCACATTCAAAATTCGAATGAGTAGTTCAGAAATTACGCTTACCAACCAAGTAAATACATTAAGCCGATAACAACTTCCATAGAAATTACAGTTTTTCTCTATTTTTTTTTATTTTTTTCTTTGCCTACCTAGTACTATGCATTTTGAACTTTTATCCCTTAAAAGTACCTACCAGATTAATTTACCTAACCAGTAACTATAAAAGGTATCGAAGTTTAAAATCGAAACACATACATACATGCAACACGAAACAAATAAAGTCGCATTATTGTAAAATCAATCAAAATCGCCCATCTGTGTCTAAGCATTTTTTTTTTACATTCCTTTTATAGAATATATACAATCTGTATTCTGTAATGGTATTTACAACAAGCATATGTGCGTAATAGATGATATGATATATGATATTTAACATGAGGAAAGAAATCAACCAGCAGCAACACTCAAATTTTTTTTAGAGCATTATATGATATTGAATTGTATGAATCAAATTGGTTTTAAAAATTGTATCAAATTAACTGAATGCCGTTTTAAAGTACCAAAATTAATTATGGCAACACTAGTAAAAACAATGAAAGTATTTATAAAGTAAAATAAAATACATTAGCTGTTGGGTCATCTATTTATGGATTGCAGTGCTGAGTATAGAGTTGCATATAATATAGACTATAGTGCCTACGGCCCACCCGACCGTTGTCTATCGTTCGCCTATAATAGCGGCGCTCGACATTCCAGTATTCCACCGTCTCGCTGAAAACGAGTCAATGAAATGTTTTCATTGAATACCAAACAGAAAAATGTATTTTCAAAGGACACCTGTAGGTAGGTATTAAGTATATGTATTACTAAAAGTACATTATGGTCCGATTGAAGATTGCCTAAATAGCTGCAGGCATACTCAGTGCTCACTCATTTCCGAGACAGTTTTTTCTGACCGTTGCACTATTATTATTATTATATAGATTGCTCAGTTTTATGTTCATGGTAGTCCTGTTTTTTAACCAAACAACAAATTTTATTTTCAAATAATACAATCGAGTATTAGTTATTCACGTCATAATTGACCACGATTAGAAATTCATTTTAAAACATCGGTTTACTGGGTAGGTACAGATTTGTTACTTTGAGACTTCGAATTCCGGTTAATCGGCATGCAGCAAAAGCTTTACACCGGTTTAAATGGGAATTCGTGGTCAAAAAATGAAAATTGGACAACGGTAATTTATTAATCAGCTAAGAACAGTGCATTTCACACCGGTTTGCGCTGTCAAATTTCTGACAAGATATCTGGCAGTGGTAACACGGTATACAAATTTCGAAGATACGTTAGTAGGTCTGAGGTCACACAGAAAAATCATTAAATTCTTTCATTCTTTCACCAAGGAAGGGAATTGCCAATGTTTTTTCATCAAAAATTAGGAATTCTTAAGTTTGATGTAAGTTTTAAATCATGTAAAATAATAATAATTACAATTCTTCACATCTCCAAGACTACAAAATCGTTTTATAAGATATGCAAATTGCAAGTGCAACAAAAGTCCGTGCTCTTATGCACTAAAATATATTAAAATAATGATGAACAATAAATAATAGGTAATTAATATTCGTACTTCGTTTCGTTAATACTTGATATTATATTGTTTCTATATAAATTACGTCAAAATGGTGATAAGAGGATCGTGGTCTTAAAAAAACGACAGATGATAACGGTAGGTAATGATAACAGAAATAGGGATATTAATAATTGCGCGGGCCGCGGCCGCCCACTGACGAATTACGAGTGACTGGCGTAGCGCGGAGAGTGGACACGCTCTGTCGTCGGACACGGTATGACGAAATAAAATGTATTTTATCATGGTCGGACTCGGACAGTAATAATCCCGAATTACGAGTTACAGCTGAGTAAAACGAGTATAGTGAAAACAGCGATCAGTAGTGACCCTTGTGTGCCACTGACTAGGCGCCAGCTCGATGTTAGTAGTCTGTCTTTTTCATCAGTTGGTCGTTAACCGCATTCCTGTGTCACGGGCGGCAGAGGAATGTCTGTAAATCACGTATTATACTATTACATAATATATAATAATATATGTGTACGTGTACAGGAGAGAACAAGATCGGTGTTCTTTTAGAATCGACGGCAGCTGCTATCGTAAGTGCGTGATAACAACGCGACCAAACGAATGAATATTATAATAGTAATATAATTTGTAGGACTTAAGTGGGCAATAAATATTAAATTATACTACTACCAGTCACCTCTATGACACACACTTAATTTAATATATTATACATTTAGTGTTATGTGCGAATTGGCATTTGGCAAAAGGAATTAGTGTCAAACCCATAAATACATACACACAGTGGTTGCTATATTATATTATTTTAAACAATTTTTGACGCAGTGGTGTCTGTATAACTATATACATAAAACAGTATACACTATAATTACAGGTAAGTCATGCACCGAAATATTTCATATTCAAGTCATGTTTAATTTGATATTATTAAGATTTATAATAATTTTTTTTTTTTTTAGGTAGTTTTTAAATGTTCATGTATATTATTGTATGAAATGTATGAAATGTTAACATTTCTCGCTTAAAAGTTTTTGGTATTAATAAATTGGCCTGTACCACTTGCCGGGTGTTTACCCAATTGCTACTATCCTGCAGTAGACTTCCTTTATTTTAAAACTATTTGTTAAAGCTTAATTTTAATGACGGACTATGGAAGCGAAACTATGCTGTTGTGATCTAATGACCTGGATTTGATTATTGTGATGTTGGGTGTGTTCTTGTTTGTTTTAATTACAGTTGAAAATCATTGCCGAGTTCTACATTTTATTAAATTATAGGTTTAATTAATATATTCTTTGTCATTCACATTTGTTATACAGGCAAACACAAAGTGCTGACTTGTGTTATGATCAATAATGGAATACAATCGTTCAACCTACTAATCTATAATTTAAAACATAATATAATAATAATATCATGGTGAGAATATTTTTTGAATGCCACAATATCAATATCGTATTTTTTTAAATTTTTTTTAACAAACAATTTTTCATACTTAATTATAATACACTAAACATATAACATTAACATTTAAAATTTAGTTTTGAGAAATTTAAGTGTATTTTGGAATAGCTTTCACTTAATCTTATTATTCAAATTTTATAATTCCACTTAATTAGCACAGACAAAACTCTAAATTCCATGATTAATTTGTCTAACCAAAGCCATCACATAACTATATTTGCTTTATTTACGGTATAATAACTAAAACTAAATTGTATGCATATAAGTATAGCTATCTCTTTTGGAAAAAAATTAAGAGCAATCCAAGCAAAATTATGATCGGTCATTTTTTTGTGAAGGCTATAATTAAGTTGTATTCATTAAATTATAATAAGTAATAAACATTTTAAATTAGTTGGTACAATTTAATTAATCTTAATTTTAAACATTGTACTGACCTGCTGTACTTTTACCTTGGTATGAAATTAAACTAATATAATAGTTAATAATAGTTAATCATGTATGTTTGAAATTTGTTTTGTTAAATTAATTATATATTTATTTTTGTATTCTTGCTGGCAACATATTTTCTTAAATATTTATTATTAGTAATGGCCATGTTTGGGAATTTGGCTAGGTTTAAATCTTGTCTTAAGGTTACATTTAATAATTTGTATACAAAGTTAAAATTGTAGTTATTTTTGTAAGTATTTTAATTTTTAAGTGAAAAAAAATATTATTGGCTAAATATTAATTCTTAAGAAATACATTTCCAAGAAATCAATAGGTTGGAATATAATTTTTATATCTTCAAATAATTTTAGGCTATAGTTTAATGTATTATCAATGGTACAAAAGTGCTAAAGCCTAAAAATATATTTAAGTTTTTTTAAAAAAATGCTGTTCAGTTATTTTATTTTTATGAGTAAATACTAAAAAATTTATGAATTATCGATATTATAATATACTAGTATTTTTCAGTATTTAAAGTAGGTAAACATATTAAAAAGAGAATACAAATAAATTGTGTTTTTTGTGGAAGTTAAGACTCGCGGTGTATAATTATTTTTAACAATACATGTTAATTACTGATTAAACAACATAAGTATTAAATGAGTTTTAAGTTATTTTTTATCTTTATAAAATAGAACATATTTTTTAATCTTTAATAGTTTTTAATGCATGTTAATCCAAACCTAATTATCTGTAAAGAAATGTATTAACAACAGACAATATTAGGTACCTATTAAACAGTTTTATGATAATGGTTATTTTATTTAAGTAATATTTATTAAGTTTATTTCATGATAATATAGGCTGAATTTTTGAAAATAAAAAGGAGAAAAATGTCTTCCAGTAAAGATGGTGATGAAAACGAAGCTGTAACTAATTTCCGAGAATATTTACGTATTCCCACAGTTCACCCTGATGTTGATTATAGTATGTACATTTTATTTTAATTATAGTAGTAAATATGTAAAAACAAAAAAATATTGTTATTTCCCGCAGGTAAATGTGTGGAATTTCTATTGCGTCAAGCACAAAGCTTAAATCTGCCATCAAATATTTATTATATGGCTCCTGGCAAACCAATAGTAGTAATAACATGGCTTGGACAAAAACCAGAACTTCCTTCTATACTACTTAACTCTCATACGGATGTTGTTCCAGTTTATTCCGTAAATATGATTAAATTATAAATTCTTTTAGCTATCACCTACCATTAAAGAACAATTTTTTATTTTTATTTTTAAGTTTAATTATTAATTAGTCATTGTACTTAAGGAAACACTTTTTTTAGGAAAATAAGTATCAAAATGTATTGTATATTTTTATAATAATAATAATTTAATTTAAAAAAAAGGTATTTATATATCTAGAAAAGCTCTTTACGTTTACTATTTAGAATATATAATGTAGTGGAATTACATAATTTTCTTGTTTTTGTATATAGGAATTTTGGACTCACGATCCATTTTCTGCACATAAAGATAAAAATGGAAACATTTACGCTAGAGGAGCACAAGATATGAAATGCGTTGGAATTCAATACATAGAAACAATACGGAAATATTTAAAAGATAAATTAGTTTTTGATAGGACTATACACATGTTGTTTGTGCCTGGTTTGTGTATTTTTAATTTTGTACTTACATTATGACAATGAGTTTTATTGAAATTATGTTTTAGATGAAGAAACAGGAGGACATTTAGGAATGAAATTGTTTGTTGGTTCACCTGAATTTGCTTCATTAAATGTGGGTTTTGCATTAGATGAAGGATTAGCTAGTAACGATGATAGTTTCAGTATATATTATGGAGAACGAACTCTATGGCGTTAGTAATTTCAAACAGTTTTATGTTAATTTTTATTAAAATTTAATTTTTGTTTATTGATAGATCTCCAAATAAAATGTACTGGTACACCTGGACATGGGTCTCTATTACATGAAAATACAGCTGGAGAAAAGTTGCATTATGTCATTAACAAGTTTATGAATTGGAGGGAACATGAAAAATTAAGAATGAAGAGTTGTAAATTGGGTCCTGGAGATATCACATCAATAAATTTAACGATGGTAAATGGAGGATGTCAAATTAATGTAGTGCCACCAGACTTGACAGTTAGTTTTGATGTACGACTGAGTATTGCAGTAGATGTTATGACAATAGAAGAAACTGTTAGAAAATGGTGTGAGGAAGCTGGTGAAGGTGTAACTTTGGAGTTTATCGCTAAAAGCCCATACATTCAACCTACAATAATTGGACCAGAAAACCCTTGGTGGGTTACATTTAAAAATGAATGTGATAAAATGTGAGTATTAAAATTGAATTATTTAATAATTAAATATTACTTATTAGTTCAATAATTCCATGAATATTTTCCTCTATTTATAATTTATTTTACCTAGCTTGTAATACAATTTAAAAAAATTTTAAACTGGATACTGAAATGTAATACAATATCGGTGGTTTATTGCTTAAGGTATTGATGTTTACTCATTAAAGTAATTTATTAATCAACCGTTCAAAATAAGAACAGAGTATAGTTTTATTATTTTAAAGTGGCAATAACATAAGTTGTTAAATTATATCAAACAATTATTTTGATGAGAAACTAATTTTTCTTTTTCTTTAAGGAATTTGAAAACAAAAACGTATATATTTCCTGGCGCAACAGATAGTAGATATATTAGAGAGGTATTTATACAATATATTACTGAAATGTTTAAGAGGATATTGTACCTGCATGTATTGTCTCTGTTCAACTAACACATAACAAACCAAAATAAATATTCAGCAGTTTCAATCCTGTGTTGTTAGCTTATGGCCATTTGTTAAAATCCAACAAGATAACACAGGTAATATTCTTATTTTTAAGTTTGGTAATAGGTCAAAATTCACTCTAATATTAAAACGAACACAAAATTGGAATTGCTGAACATTAATTTTTAGTATGTTAGTGAGACTGAAACAACACATGCAGGTACAATATTTTCTTGATAATATATATACTATAAAATTAAAATGCTATTAAATCATTTCACCTAACTACATTTTTTTTCAAAATAAGTTTTTAGTAAATACAGATTTATTCAGATTTTCTATAAAAAAGACTGCTGTACTAGACATCAATTAAACATAATTGTGCTTATTAAAAGTTTAAATTACTTAATCAATATTAATTAATTTTTTTTAATTTCAGATTGGTATTCCAGCTTTGGGATTTTCACCAATAAATAATACTCCTATTCTTTTGCATGATCATGATGATTTTTTGAATGAGAAGACATTCCTGGATGGCATAGATATTTATTATAATATTATCAAAAGCCTTGCATCTATTTGAGTTACATTTTTTTATTTATCTTAATATGTTAATTAATTTTAATGATGAAAAGTTACAATAATTGTTATTAATTATAAGAATATTAAACTCGAGATTTTACTTTATAAGAAAAAAAAACAATTTGGGTTTAAAAATTTTAAATTTAGTCCTACTTATTTTGATGAAATTTAATTTTTGTTAAAAATGTGATTTATTTAAATAATATACAGTAAACTCTTGCAAGTGCAATACTCTGGTATTTTCAGTAACCCAGCTAAATTTTTTAATTTTTTTGTTTCAACAGCCATAAATCAGAAGAAAACGAAAGCTTTTGCAAGGGATATTTTGGTAAATAAACGACTAAAAAAAAAAATTTAAAAGCATTATTTCAAACCAAAAAAAAACTGATAATTTTTATTTTGATGTGAACCTCCAATGATTGAGTGTTTATGTTAATCTGGTAGTACTCTGGTTTGATATCTGCCAGATTCTACTGTATAGTAAATGTATCATTCTTTATGAAATTAAGATGTATTTACTAAGTAATAAATAGTAAATCTATAAATTATAAATTTAATATTGTTCTATTAGTTCTTTATAAATTGAGTTATAAACTTGTTGGTGTTTTTATGTTTTAATAAATTGTTATATTTTTGTTCAAAATATGTTATTGATAAACTATTTGTTTTTAAACTGAAATTATGCATAACTATTGCATAAAATATTAAATTGTATTTTTCATGCACAAGTAATACCCAAACATTGTTTGATAAATTGATGTACAAATTATTCACCATATTTTATAACAGTTTATAATATCAATATACATCATAAACTTAATTTGGTTAGGCAACTTTAATAGTTTTGGCATATTATAAGACAACCGAAATTTCAAACAACTTGCAAAATAAAAATAGACATGGATGAATAATTTATAGTTATACACTCAATAAGGTTTTAAATACCTTATAACCAGGGGCAGATCCTGTGCTTTATTTTTTTTTTGTGGGAGGCAAATGAACAAAATAATTTACAACATACACACAATATCTCATAAATTTATATTTTATAGTTCACATTTTACAAAGGAAATTCTAAACATTGCTGTTATTTATTGGTTAACATAAATTTGTTTCATTTTTCTTTAAAAAAAAACTGATTTTTCATTCATTTTGAATAATTGTTTTTGAAATATATTTTATTAGTGCACAAAAAAACGTTGAACTTAAATGTTGGAAATGTACAATAAGTTACAACACATTACACATAGGACATCCAATGTAGGCACTAAAAATTGTCATTTGTAAATTTGTTGTGTCACAATGTCGATATATTCTAGTCAATACTCAATATTCACCAGAACTATGATAAAGAAACGTAATAAGTAATAACTAATGAGCTATTAAACTGATGAGGAATTTTCAGAATTGTAATTTTACGATAAACGCCCATATCGAAATTGAATTCTGTAATTCTAGAAATATGAATATCAAATTTACAACACACACTACTGCATTATAGTGGAAAAAACAGTCTAAAATAAAGGACACCTACAAAGCAATTGTGAGGGGGAGGAGCAAATGCGCCCACGACCCCACTGAATCCGCAACTGTCTAACATTAATATAAAATATGAAAATGGTTAAAAAAATATTTGTATTTGTACTTAAATATTTTTCTAAAGCAGTGTGAAATCGGCTGATTACTGGAAAAATGATTATACTGTGCTATATAACATAAAATGTTATCAGATACTGGTTGACTTAGTGCTTTAAAATATGGAATGAACAAGGACTGGTGAGAAGGATGTACACAACGGGCATTTAAGGTCTGAGAGCACATCCTGTAATGAATTAAATCTAGCATATTTATTTTTGTCTATCATAAATATTTCAACTTTCAATTTAGTGTGCAGAAAATAAGTGAATTCAAATAAACTGGTAGCAAGAGTAAAAATATAACGCTACTTGTTTACAAATATATGTTTTTATTCACTAACATTATTTAAAATTATAATTGATACTATAATATATCTACAATAAGTGAAATAAGTAAACCCCAGTTAATTATACTGTTGTCATTATTAAGCATAAAATTCATGAGTAGCAAAATACATTTATTTTAATACAGGGTGATTAACAAGCATGATCACTCCTTTATTTTTCTTCAATAATGCAGTTATTCAAAATCTGATTTTTAAATATACATTAAGACCATATTTTCAAATCTTTGTGATTTGTAAAACTTAAGGAGTGTGCTGTTGAGTTACAAACTTGTGTTTTTCAAATAAGAACACCCCTATTAAGCTATACATTTTACAGTAGATAATTTTTCTGAAATAGTCGACATATTAAAATTAAAATGTGTACTAGTTGTTTTTGAGTTATTCAACTTTGAGTTCTACGTATAAAAGGTCCATAGTAAGGGATATATAAGATAGGGTATATGGTGATTTGAATAATAATTTGTAAAATTGGCCTAAAGTATAGTGAATACAAGATCCAATTTTACGTTTATTTTATATTTATGTTAAACCAGTTTTAAGGACTATTATCCACAAATACAAACATTTTAATAACCAATAGATTACACATTCAAATTTTAAATGTGGTATATATTAATTTACAGTAAAATAAGTGGGTTCTCTTTTGATAAATAGTAGTACAATATTTAAAACCTTGAAAAAATTTTAAAATTTTAAAAATCAGAACTTGAATAAATTCATTAAAGAAAAATGGGGATGAGCATGCTTTATGTATCTCTCTGTATATTATTAAACTATGAAGTGATGCAATCATCAATTGTATTAAATATATTATATTTATTATATTAAATGTATTAAATACCATTATCTTTTATCATGTATATTTAGTATTTAAGTGAGATTATTTACTGTTGATCTATATACCAAAGAGTTATCAATTCATTATTAAATATTAAGTGATAGTTGCAAATCAAACACTGAGTGTTACTGAATGACTTAACATTAAATTCTGTCAAAAAAAAAGAAAATATTTTTTAAATTGTACATTGTTATACAAGTGTAAAAATAATTTTTGAAAATCTAAAAATGTCTTCAGCTTATCCACTTGAACATGAATCTGTGACAATATTTAGAGAATATCTACGAATACCAACAGTTCAACCAAATGTCAACTACAGTTTGTACTTTTAGTTTTCTTCTAAATATTATGATAACTATTGAATTCTTTAATGAGTCTATCATGTAAGTTAAATAAATGATGTAATTAAATATTATGAACAGATGAATGTATAAAGTTTCTGGAACGTCAAGCTCAAAGACTTGGTCTTCCATTAAAAGTTTTTTATATGACACCAGAAAAACCAGTTGTAATTATTACATGGGTAGGACAAAAATCTGAATTGCCATCTTTATTACTCACTTCTCATATGGATGTTGTTCCAGTATATCCTGTTAGTAAAAAATTTTTACTACCTATTTTCAAAGTTTATGTAGATGTTAGTTTAAAGATTAATTTTTTTAGGAGAAGTGGATATATGACCCATTTTCTGCACACAAAGATGAAAGTGGAAATATTTATGCTAGAGGTGCACAAGACATGAAATGTGTTGGTATTCAGTATTTAGAAACCATCAGAAAGTATATAACAGAAAAACTCAAATTGAAAAGAACCATACATATATGTTTTACACCAGGTAAATACAATAATTATATTGTTCTTGAAAATAAAATATTTGTTTTTGTAAATTTAGATGAAGAAATTGGAAGTAAATTTGGAATGGCTAAATTTGTAACAACTTCGGAGTTTGCAAAATTAAATGTTGGTTTTGCTCTGGATGAAGGAATAGCAACACCACATGAAGCTTTTGATGTATACTATTGTGAAAGAACTTCTTGGTGTAAGTTATTACAGTTTAGATATTACAATAAAATTTCTAAAAAAATTTTAATCTACTTTAAAATAAGAATTACATTTTTTTGTAGATTTAATTATAACTTGTACTGGCCAGACTGGACATGGTTCAATATTACATGAAAATACAGCCGGAGAAAAATTACAATTTATTATCAATAAATTTATGAATTGGAGAGAATATGAAAAGACTAAATTACAAAACAGTGATTTGGAACTTGGAGATGTGACAACTATAAACTTAACAATGATAAATGGGGGGTGTCAGATAAATGTTGTGCCAACTGAATTATCAGTTACTTTTGATATACGGTTAGCAATTGATGTAGACATTAAAAAAATGATGGAAACTGTAGAAGAATGGTGTCGTAGTGCTGGTCCAGGCGTTTACGTTCAGTTTAAGGACAACCCAATTCGTGTTAGACCAACTAAAGTTGATGATACTAATCCATGGTGGATTGCATTCAAGAATGAATGTGATAAAATGTATATTTAACTGTTTAAGACGTTTTAAGTATAAATAAGTTATATGCTTGAAATAAAATAAAATATTATTTCAGGGACATGAAAATCAATACTCGTATATTCCCCGCAGGAACAGATAGCAAATTTATAAGAAATGTAAAGTATAAGCACCTACATTTAATTTACAATATTATTATCTAACCTATGACATATTTTTTAATTTAATAGGTTGGTATACCAGCTTTGGGATTTTCCCCAATGAACCAAACAAAAACTTTATTGCATGATCATAATGAATTTCTTAATGAAAAAACATTTATCAGAGGTTTGGATATTTATTATAATATAATCAAAGGACTTACATCGGTTTGAAATTCTAATTATCAATTAGAATTGTATTTACTAATAATTAAACAATTGATTTTTAAAAAAAAAATGTATTAAAATAATAAAATATAAACAATGGTTTGAAAATCCACTAGTGATTTTGTCATACACATATTTAAATTTCTTACCTACCAACCAAACAAATATTCCAAAGTTTTTGTAACAATACCATTTGAAGTTGTAGCTGAAGGAGAGTTCTATTAAAAATCAAAGCAAGTTATCATTAAAGAATTATCATGGTAAAATTAGTTGGATCATAAATCAATGAAGAAACTTACATTTTGTCCTTGAATAGGCATAGGTTTTATGGCCATTGGTCTAATATTATTTCTTTTAGAAATTGAATCATTTGGACTTGAGAATTGTTGACCTAAAATTGGTGAACGCAGCGATTTTGATAAAATATCAGTACTTGGACCAGGATGTGAATCAATAGGGCTGATATTTTCATTTAAGATTGTCTAAAAAGTAATATTACATGTAGGTATGTATATGAAATGCATTAAATTAAAACTATTAAATAATAAAATATTTTACCTTATCATTACACGGAATAACTCCAATCATAGCTCCATTATTGGTTACATGACCATTAAACAATAGAGCACGGTGATAATCTGTAGAATCACTGAAACATATGTGAGCCCAATTTGGCCCTGCTTGTCTCACATCACAACAAGATACCATGTGTATAAATTTAGATAATATTTCATCTTTGTTCGAAACTGAATAGCCAAAAACAGTAATCCAACATCCCGCAGCAGCTTTTGGTTGTTCAAACAGATTGTTTTTATCAGAGTAAAATTGTTTGTTTTCTTTATTGTTACACCTGCATTAAAAAAACAGTTTGAATAAATATTATTGATAATTGCTGAAATTAAATTTAGAATATAATATTTACTGTTCTTCTCTATAGTCGGAAGTATTGATTGTATCAAATAAATCAATTGTCGGAGCTTTTGTTGGTTCATCATTGACTCTATTTAAGATAGGAGTGGAAGATCTGAAAAAGCAAAGACTCTGAAATGAAGTATTTAATAATTGTTGTTTAAAATGCTTACGGCTTATCACTTAGTTCATGATGAAAATTGCGCATTAAAAACGTAGTGTGTACATCTGAGGTGTGGCTACGATTTGCACGTAATGGAGACATGGTGCTAATGGAAACATTACCGATCGGCGATTGAGCACGTTCGCCCATCAAGTATCCAGGAAGATAGGTAGGTTTTTGTGGACTGTCGTGTGATGGTGATCCTAGAGCCATTGGTTCCATTTCGCACTTCTGCCGTTTGGAATGATGAACAATATAAGATTTTGCACAGCGATTTCCAATAATCTCCAAACGAATAGATATGAAAACCGATTGAGTTTTAAGTTTTTAACGGTATTGCTAGTTTATATGCCTTGCAGTGCAAAAAATAAACAGTAAATACCAGTTACGAATTCTTTAGGACTATCAACAAAAAAATTTCAAAATTAAAATGTTATGATTTACTGATAACAAAAAAATCACGACAGCTGCTGCGCCACAGCG